TGATAATGCTCGGGCTGTGGTATCAATGTCTTGTATGCAGTAACTGAACTACTACACCTTGTCATTTTGGGTTTCCTCTAGTTCCACATGAAACAGGCTGTTTTTATAACTGCGCAATAGCGACTGGATGTTTGTGAATGTTGGGCGAATGACTTGGAAGTGATCACCTGGATAGCAGCCACAGAGTCGGTTCCTAAGAAAACACCACGCTTGATGGGTCTTATTGCCTCTTATATTGCGACCGTCGTCTTTTTGATAATATCAAGTCTGATTTCTCATAGACTCAGTTACCGGTCATATCTGTCGTTATCTACCTTCAACCGGAGACGGGGTTCCCTTGCCGCGGGAACCATACCCGACCTACACACCAGCTGAACCGAACTATCACCAAACTCGACAAGACGATGCAATAGAAGCATGAGCCCAGGTGCAATAGAAACACCAGAAGGTCGAGATGCGAGGTATCAGTCTATTTTGGGCAATTGGTTTAATGATTGACATGCTTCTTCCCCCTTCTTGCATCAGTATTTGGCATAGACTAATGAAGTTTATGATCATTTGACCAAAGAATGAAGCTCGATATACACCCTTCCCCTCAAGGATACATATATGATAGAAACCACCCTTTTCATTGGACAACGTAGTGTATCTAGTGTAGTCAAACGGAGGCCAGCCAGGAGAATCTAAGATATAAAACGTTGTAGCTCCTTTATGTCTCCTCCTTCTTATCTTGAGCTCTGCAATTGAGGGCAGATGCATACCCTCATCTCAACTGGGATTGAATCTGCACTGAAGACGAGTATCAAAGCTCTATAAGCTCTAGTCACTATGGCTTCAGTCATCTACAGCACACCTCCCACTCTTCCAGTCCGAAAGCCAGCACCCTTCGTTATCGGCCCAACCAACAAAGCCCCTTTCCGACCTACCAGCAAGATCCCACAAGATGTCATCGACACAGCTCAGGCCATACCCATCGAAGAGTTCGACGCAAAGAAACATGTAAACTTCGAGTTTCCCAAGCGGACTTACACCATGAAGGAATGGGGATACGAGAACCAGGGCGTCTCCCCCATCGCTGCCTCGGACCCTTTCACTCTTTTCACTGAAGCTGCCGTCAAGCAAGTCCGACGTGAACTTCTCAGCGATGATGTTCTTAGGACATGCCAGTATGCTTCAGCTTTTACAAAGAACCAGATTCGAGGATATACTCAAAAGTTCATCACTCCAGACACAATGATAGGTTATTTAGCTGACATCTTATAGACAAGCTCCCTTTGCTCACGCTCTTTGGAAGAGCCCTGAAGTTCAGCAAGCGGTTTCAAAAGTGGCTGGTATTGATCTAGTTCACGCATTTGAGTATGAGATCGGCCATTGCAACCTGCTCTTCAGCGATGGCGAAGATGAGAAGAAGGGAACCAGCGACAACGTTGGCTTTTCTTGGCACTATGATAGCTTTCCTTTTGTCTGTGTTGCAATGCTTTCAGACTGCTCGGATATGAAGGGTGGTGAAACTGCAGTCCTCAAAGGTGATGGCGAGGTTCTCAAAGTTCGCGGTCCAACCATGGTGAGCTACATGGTCACTCAGCATGGACGTATAAGCTGATACTGTCTAGGGAACTGCAGTGATTCTCCAAGGTCGCTACGTCCAACACGCCGCACTCAAAGCCGTTGGCAAAGAAAGAATCTCTTTCATCACAGCATTCCGTCCCAAGTCTCCCTTTGTCAAGGACGAGATGGTCCTCACGGGTTCTCGACCCATAAGTAACCAGTCAGAACTTGTATATGACTACTGCACCTACCGAGCAGACGTTCTTGAGATACGGTTTCGAGAACACGCCAAGAAGCTTCGCGAACAGCAAGCTGCGGGTGTCAAGTTCAACCCCGGTGTCGTGAAGGAGTTCCTTCAGGAGCAGAAGGAAATGCTGGAGGCGACGCTTTTGGAGATGGTTCCAATTTACGACGTTGTTGAAGTTGAGTAAGTAGGCTTTGCGTAACTATCATGTAATGATGTATGATATCAGTAAGCAGTATAAGAATGTATGCAAGGGTACACGTGACTCAGCGGAAGAAAGTCCGGAATACTTGAATAGACTCCCCGAGCCTCGGCTCCGGGGTGGACTCCCCTCATGGCTCCACTTTAGCCGGGGAAGCTTCTTACCCAACAGGGGCATAACTACCCCAGAAACAACAACTCCAAGCCTCGGCTCCATGATAAAGACATTAATAGAATCAAAACCCGCCTTTTTCGTAATCTCAATCTACTTGACATAACACCACAGTTGCAGGTAGACTAGACAGACGGACTCACGCCATGTCTGACAAGGCGCAGAGTCGTATCAATGCCATTGGCAAGCAACTTCTTCCACCTATCAGCAAGGTAGCTCCAGGATCAAGTAAGCTCCGCGTCGAGGGCAAAGTCATCATCATAACAGGTACATATTGCAACGTGAGAACTCCTCTGATGAATGCTGCTGACTCGGTGTAGGTACAAACTCACCGCTGGGTATTGGACGTGCTACAGCGCATCAATACGCTGAAAGCGGTGCCCGAGCATTGTATCTCTGCGACTTTGACGATACGCACCTTGAGTCTCACAAGAAGGAGATCAACGCTGCGTTTCCGAAAGTGGAGATTCATACGAGGCGTTTCGATGCCGCGGATGAGGACAAGGTCAAGGAGGTAGTCGATGACGCGATCCAACGCTACGGTCGCTTGGACGTCTTCTTTGCTAATGCTGGAGTCGTTGGTCGAACCACGCTGTTCTCTGACTTTAGCAAAGATGAGTTTATGTCGATACTCAACACCAACACGTCAAGGTATGCGAGCGAATATCTCCACATTATATACTGGATCAGTATCATCTAAACTATATTGCAGTGTCTTTCTAGCTGCCAAGTACGCGGCACCAGCCATGATGCAGACTTCTGCCGACAAGCCTCAAGCCAGCGGCAGTATCATCGGTACAGCGTCTGTTGCAGGAATTCGCTCCAATGCCGGATCCACACCATACTCAGCCTCCAAAGCAGCCGTGGTATCTCTCGCCCAGACGATATCGTACCAGCTCGCGGGAACAGGCGTGCGTATGAATGCTATCTGCCCAGGTCTCATCGAGACTGGCATGACAGCGCCTGTTTATGAAGCCGCAAGGGCTCGTGGAAGTGAGAAGAAGATCGGGCAGTTAAATCCTATGAAGAGAGGCGGTCATGCTGATGAGATCGCTCGTGTTGCACTCTTCTTGGGAAGCGACGAGAGTAGTTATGTTAATGGACAGGCATGGGCAGTGGATGGAGGGCTGAGTGCTGGGCACCCCTTTGTTCCTGGAAAACTGGGCTGAGTGTCCGTCAGGGGGGGAGTATAGCTCAGCTCTGTTATACCACCCACGACACTGGGCCTCATGAGTAGACATTCGCATTTCAGCTCATATCACAGCGTGTCCGAATACTCAAATCATTTACGAGCCTTCTCCTATACTCATTGCTTTCTGTATCCGATGTTAACCATCCTTGTCGCGGAGTGTTTCGGTGTTAATTCGTGATATTTGCTGTATTAAGCCTACCTATGTCTGAACATAAGACACACTCCAACCCCATCAAGTTAAACCGCTACGGAGTAAACATGAACGTGTTTATATCGAAGATCGACGCAACTCTAAGCTCAGGCGGCAAACTCCGCGAATCCAGCAACTTGGATGTGATGAGTTTTCCGATGAAACTGAACTGTCTACCAATCGCATCATGATCGAGCGAGATGTGATGTTTGTTGGCAACTCGAGGCAGATATTGTTTCTCTTTCTGCCCATATTCAGTATTCCCACGACTTTTCCAGCCTTTTCTCTCGCTATGACAACCGCTTTCAACTATCTTTGTTCTCTCCGTGATCCGCCTCAAAGTCATCAATCTAGCTACTTACAGTTCGCGACACTGTATACACAATAGACTTATCAACAACGAGTCAACTGTTCTCAAGACACAAGCTGATCATTGCCTTTGCACATGCCGTCATTACTGCCGATAACTATGTATAACCTTGATTCAAACAAAGATCACCGAATGACACCATCAGGAGAACTTTAGACTTCTGGAATTCTCCGTCACACCATCACCAAAACGCAATAATCCACCAACGCCCACCTCTAGATCCCCCATTAACTCAAGGGATGGTATGATCTATATGTCGTTTCGTTTGGCTTAAACATGTCCGTCGACTAAAAATATGGAGACTCAAGTTTCGGAGTACGGCTCTAGTCGAAACCAAATCCTGACTCAAACATCAAAATACCCCCTGAAAAGGTCCTGAAACACCCAACGACGGAGAAACCCTTGATCAACGGAGCTTCAATCCATGCAACAGCAAGGAAACATTCTCCAAAAACGTGATTGATAAACACGAGCCGCGTCATCTTCGACATTCATTGCCAATGAGGCCAAGACTCACGGATAGACGCCCACATCGGCCCCCCATATATCGAATATCGACAAGGTCTCTAAACGCGAAACTTGAGCTTGTTAGCCTTACCCATCGGCCTTTTTTTCTGCAGACTAACAAACTCAATCCATCAGATCTTTCCACTAATGCAGTCAAAGGTTTACCCCTTTGTCCCTTGCAGAGATCGCCAGGGGATCCAATCGTGGTTAATCAACTCCCTACTTGTGTTTGTCGGAGCCTCTAAATCTTGAAACCATCAGCTTGCCATCGGACCTGGGATCCGCTGGCGTCAATATGGAACGTCTACGCGAGTTCTGGGTTACGTTCGGTAATAGGAGTAGTTGACAGACTTTGACGACCGTCCTATGTTTTAGTTTCGAGGCTCATCGTATATAAACGTCCGTTCTCTGATGTTTCTTCTCAGCTTCTGATTCTCTCCATCGCCACTTTCCCTCGCTCTTTTCTTTCATCACTCGACTTTCAGTTGCAGGCATCTGTGGTCAGTCTTTTCCCCACGATCTTTTCCCTCTTTTCTATTTCCTTCAAGTATATTATATCCTTCTTTCAAGATCAAAATGGCTGTCCTTAACCTTGTCACTTTGGCTTTGGCCCTTTCTTCTCAGGCCATGGCCCGGCCTCGCCCACAGTTTGGCAACGGCGGCGATGCCCAAACACCCGGTGCTGGTCTCGGCGGTTCTCTCCCTACCGCCCTTCCCAGCGGTGGCTCTGGCCTCATTCCTTCTGGCTTTCCCAGCCTAGGAGGTGGTAATGGAGGTGCCATCCCAACCCCTGGCAGTGGCTTCAACTTGCCCGGCAGCGGTAGTGGTAACGATGCTCCTGCTACCACACCAGGCACTGGCGGTGGCTTCTTTGGCGGTGGCAGTGGCGGTGGCATTCCCGGCCTTGGCAACCTCCCATTCTTTGGAGGAGGTAACGGAGGCAACGGTGGTAGTAGCAGAGGTGGCTTCTTCGGCGGTGGCGGTAACACCAACACTCCCCCCGCCGCAGCTCCAAGCGGTGGTCTGCTTGGAGGAAATGATGGCAACACCGGCGGTGGTGCTTCTGTCCCCGCTCCCATTCAAACTCCGGGCACCGGAGGTGGTGTACAAGGTGCATCCTTTCGAGGCCGTGGTCGATCTCGTAACCAAGACTCGCCTTCGACCCCTGGAGGCAGTGGTAACTCTCAGGGTGGAAACGGCGGCGGCCTTAGCGGAAATCAGCCGAGCGGTGCCATCCCTACCTTCTCTGCCGGACCTGGCAACGGTTTCGGCGAGGGAGGCAATGGTGGAAATGGAGGAAACGGCGATGCCACTGAGGCTCCTGTCGCTCCCACTCTTGTCCCTACCCCAGGCAGTGGGCTCGAGGGCCCAGGCACTGCTCCCAGCGGCGTCATCCCTACTTTCGTTGCTGGACCAGGAAACGGTTTCGGCAACAGCCCTAGCACCCCTAGCGCTCCCATTCAGACTCCTGGTAGCGGAAACCAGCCTGGCGGTGGTCTAGGTGGAAGCCAGCCCAGTGGTACCATTCCTACTTTCGTTGCTGGACCCGGCAATGGTTTCGGTGAGGGCGGCAACTCTGGCAGCCCTGACACTCCCATCCAGACACCCGGCAGTGGAAGCTCAACCGGAGATGACCTCACTCAGCCTGGTAGCGGAAGTGGAAACGGCAGCGGTAACGACAGCGGTAACGGCAGCGGAAATGGCGGTGATCAGACTCAGCCCAGTGGTGTCATTCCCACCTTCGTCGCTGGACCTGGTAACGGTTTCGGTGGTGGTAACGGTGCTGTCACTACCCCTACTCCCGGTGCTGGCCTGGGTGGCGGTAACAACAACACCCCCGATGTCCCTGAGACTCCCGTTCAGATCCCAGGAGCCGGTAGCGGCAGCGGAAGCCAGCCTGGAGGTGCTATCCCAACCTTCGTTGCTGGCCCCGGCCAAGGCTTCGGTGGTGGCGATGGCCAGAACGGAGGCTTCCAGAAGCGAGCTCGATCCTCTCAGTAAACGGATTCATGTTGAATAGACAATGATTTTGATGGATCTTCGAAGTTTGGGAAATGAAGAGGATAGTTCGTGTTTATAATTCTTGGGTGAAAAGCAGGGCTTAGCACTTCACTATGTATCTACCTCCATGGCAGCACCTTGAGTTGTCGATAGAGCAATTTTGGCGAACATAGCTTCCTTCCAGTGACTGTAGTTTGTCCGTTTCGCCTCGCTGAGAAAGTCGTACTTGTCTTGAAACATGGTGTCTGCCTTTTTAATTTGCATCTTTGGGATCGTCTCCTCATCCCGCATCTCGACGTCCTCGAGATGGTTTCTTTGGGTCAGCTTGACGACATCTGCGATTCCTTGATACCAGTCACCCGTGAGCCATGCTCGTTCATTGACTTTAGCAACCGCATCGTCGAAATCCTTGGACTTGACAGTCGACCAACCTTCCCAAGCGTTCTCCTCCGCCAGATCCTTAACTGTAACTTCATTTCGTGCTCTGGCGAGTAGAGCAAGGATCTCTTTTCGAAGAGGGACATATCCTTCCCTATCAATACCTTCGCCAGAAGCAAGAGCTTTGACCCGCATAGTCACGAAAAAATAGATAGCGGCAAACAAAGCCGTGAGATTCTGCAGAACCCACTCGTCATCTGTCCGTCGACCTGCAGGTGTTATGATGTTCTCCATGCCAGCCAAAATCGTGGGAGCCAGCTTCTTGTGGTCAGTTTCTGCACATACCCATCTTGTGGTAGGTTGAATCCATGCATGGAGATTGACGCCGGCAAAAGCTTCCTTCTTGCGAGTAGATTTCGTCGGTGTACCAGTAGCCCCCTTTGTTGGTGTCCTGAACTGCGCTAAACTTTGTTCTTTTGTTGGTGTTGCTCTTGATGGTAGTGGTCGTGAGCCAGAGGCGAGTGAGTTATCGGCATCGCGGACTCTTGAACCTGGTGTTCTTGTTCGTCCTGGAGTAGCTCTTGTAGGAGTTGAGTTTCCGCGCAGAATGTTATCAAGATGAGTGTAGAGACGCTTGTAGATACGAGGAGGAATTGGCGGTCTTGGCTCGATAGGCGGAAGATCAAGAGTGATTTTTAGGCTGCTTGTGTCAGAATTTATGTCCCAAATTGTTCTCATAATACATACCGATCACACGCAATGTTTGCGCAAGCGTATGTTCTAGCAATCTCTTCATCTGCCTTCAGGGTACTTGCTTGATGCCGAGACTGGGCAAGCAGAGAGCCCGCAAGTTCAACGAGAGCTGGAGGTAAATCAGAGCCATATGTTGGCATCAATGAGAGCAGTGCTTGCTCAATTTGACGACTCATATTGAAGTTTGAATTATCGTGGCCACCACGTTTGATGTAGCTTGTGATAACGAGAAGTCAATATTTAGATGGAGAACGCGGTTGATATGGAGACGCGTTGGACAGTGGTTTGTTTCTGACGCCAAATCACGGGACACTTAATTATAATCCCCCGCCAAATATTGCTTGTAGATCCCTCGGTACGACAAGGAATAGAAATGAGTTCGTAGGGATTGATTCAGGGAAGTTCAATAGATTATGGCGTTTGTCTCACAAAGAAGATGTGCCTTGTCTAGATCGGACATGGAAAATAAAAAACTTAATTTACATACCTCTAAAGTTCAAAGAACGATCTAGCCCAGGTTATTGATACTCGGTGTTGAGGCCTTCCAACAGCCATAACGTTGTACCTGGGAGATAAGCTTTTAGTGGCTCAGCGCTTCGGGACCCCTGGCAGCCCACCTCCAAGTCCAGATGTAGGTAGGGACCACGTTCGCTTGAGTCGTTGCTAGGTCCTTTCAGACTGGAACTTCACTCCTTTAAAGTCGGCTTCTCTTAGCTTCAATTGCCTTGTTGTAACTGCATCGCACAAGTCTAGACTTATCGCTCCTCTTCTGTATTTCCCGCGCCAGGTCTACCACACAATGCGCACCGGTGTCTTACTCAGTGTCGCTTTTGCGACCACCGTCTTTGCTCATGGCGGCGCTCACTCGCAGAAGCCCGTGGTTGATGCCAATGCGGACTGGATGACCAAACATATGGCTGGTATGTCCCTCTCCCGTTCCCTTCGAATTGCGCTGCAAACCTACTAACGCCATACTTCCAGAGGAGCATCATGTTCAAGGCTGGGACGCCGACTCCTTCTTCACCCTCCACGATTACAACAGCGACGGCTGGTGGCAAGCTGCTGAGTTGATGCGAACGTACGGCCTCTTCGACGAATCAAACAAGGGCATGAACGAGAAGAAGAAGGACGAGGTCCGCGACGTTCTGCTAGGTCTCCTCGATAAGGACGGTGACTCCTCTGTCAGTCGCCAGGAGTGGATGGACTTTATCAAGTCTGGGAAGACACTCCCGGATCTCAACACTGGCCCCGGCCACCACGGCGATGACGAGTACGAGTATGAGATCCATCACTGGGAGAAGTACCACGACGACAACACCAAGCTCGAGGACCTGACACATCCCGAAGACATTGAGCATTTTAAGAAACACGACGAGATGGAGGATGCCCAGGAACGCCTCGAAGCGATGCAGAAGCTCTCCATCGTCGAGGCCAACATTCCTCAAAAGTTCCGACGACAATAGACGATAGAACGCGATACTGAACTGTATTTTACTTTGCCTAGAATACCATGACTGGGGCAGGGACTCGGGGCGTGTGTGATAGGGGCGCATGACATCATGATGGATGAAACTGAAATTCTATGTACTCGATATTATTGGGATAATAAGCATGATACACGATATAGCTAGATATTGTAAACATGAACGTCAAAGACGCAGTGCCAGACGCCTGGTGCGAATGTCTTGACAAGCTCGATATGCTCGGCCTTGGCTGTCCGATCTGTCCCTTGGCTCCAGTCGTCGAATTTGCGCTGTATTTCCTGGCGTCTTGTTTCTGTGTCGTTTGCGCCAACGTTTTCGTGAAGATGCAGGCGTGTCTCACTGGCCGGAGAGGAAATATCCCATGTGTCTCTCCAAGTTGGTTCGCTTGTTGGTAGGAAGCCACAGTTGATGTGCCGTATATCTTGTGCCATGCCATTGCCCTGTAGCGACTGTATCCTCTGTAGAGATTTCTCGTTGCTCTCTAGGAATACGATGATCTGTTCTCCTCCGCTTACGATGTCTTCGTTTGGCAGGGCCAAGTCTTCACCTTGGACAATTCGAACGCTCCATCGGTTTGCTTTGGCACCACGTCGTAGACCTTCGACACTCCATGGATTGATCTCCCAGCATATAACTCTCATGCCAAGTCGAGCATATGAAAAAACAAAGTAGCCGATTCCAGCGTAGAGGTCAACCGCCCATGAGCCCTGAAGTGCTTTGTTTCCCATATCTAACAGTCTTGCCTTCTCTTTGACATTTCCTCGGCTAAACATTGTCCATCTGGGTGCCCAGGTTTGGAATATCCCATTTTGCTTGGTCGAAACCCATAAAGTGTTATCAAAATCTTCTTCAGAAGGTTCATCCGCCGAGGCATCTGAAGACCCAAAATCTCCGCAGAGAGTGCGCAGCCCAGTTGGACTTCTTCTCACATTCTCATCCGCCTCCTCACCTGCCTTGTGTAGAGGGATGCCTTCATTCACGGCAAGATGAGTTAACGGCTCCTTTGCCTGTGTCGACAGTTGCGCTAGGATCTTAGACCAGAGTTGTTGGCATGAATCTGGGCCGGCGTCTTGTAATGCGGTTGTCCAGGGTAAGGATGTGAAGCTTCCTGTGGGTAGCAAGACCATGGGTTCATAAATGGTAAAGCGCTTGGGTGCGCTGTTCAAGAGTTGAGCTTTCCATTCTTGATCTTTTTCTATTTCAGAGACCGGCCCTGTAGCAATCCATTCGTTGATGGCAGTTTGTATCGGATTGCTCTTGGGGGCCTTTGGTTTCGGCATGTTGGTGGGAGGTGGAGTTTGGTGAGTGATCGAACCACCGAGAAGGGTTCAGATAACATCGACCAAGACAGAGTTGTCGATGTCATTTAGCGAACCCTCTGATAGGAAAAAGTTCCTGTTCACTAAAATAGCCAAGGAACATCGCGAACGTCACAGATATAATAAATGAAGTGATCATCCTTGCTCGTAATTGAGATACCAACTCTACCCAATCCATAACCATCCATTTGCATTCCCACTAAAAATCACCGATGGACCATGGGTATTCTGACCCTATGCTATTCTACATGCAACATACCTACCTACCTATGCCATTAAGTCCGTTATACGTACACCATTCTTCATCACAGGAAGTAATCACCAGGCCCCCTTCTGTTTGCTGGGACATGCCTCTGATCGTCAGGAACGGCAGAGAAAATGCTAAACCTCGGGTTCAAGTCCTTATCCACAGCCATGATAGAAGCAACATTACCACAGCGGTAGCAGTAGTTGGGTGCCGACCAGACAGTTACTACTGAGTTCTCTGGAAAATGATACTGATCATCGTTAGTACAACCCTTGCCGAGATAGAAGGACGCTAAATACCTTGTAACCCTCGTTAACGAGCTGATGGGCTCGGGCAATCAATTTCAAACCGTTGACATGGTTGAATTCAGTTGCGACTTTGTCTCCAAATAGCCATCCAGCGCCACGAGGGCTGATGGCCCACGTTTCGACATCTTCTGGGTCTGACCACACCAAGTCACAGAACGCACCCTCGTGGGGAATCTCTTGCGCACGGGCAACGACTCGGATTTGATCAATCGTCCTAATCTCAGGACTCAAACCACCGTGGACGCAGAGAATCTCACCGTCGATGATGGCGGCAAGGACGAGGAAATCGAACACATGACAGCAGGCCTTCCAGACAGAGGCGTTGCCATACTTTTGCTGACACTCTTCGTAGAATCCATACACCTGGGTAATTTGTCGAGACTCGTGGTTACCACGAACAAGCACTATTCTGTCAGGGTATCTGTGGAATATGGTTAGCCAAGACACGCGACCAGCACCAGAGGGTGCTTACTTCGCCTTCAGGCACATTAGTAATGTGAATGTTTCCAGACTGAAGTAACCTCGATCCACGAAATCTCCCAGGAAAATGTATCGGGTATCGGCACTTTGACTTGACTTGTTCACTGTGACGCCAGATTCGGTCTGGTCCGCCATTGTGGAATCAGGATCTTCCTCTGCCTCGACTGCCTCGGTCTCCTCCACGCCGCTGGATGTTGCATTCTCGCCCGAAGACTTTATCTTCTTCCTCAACTTGGGGTTTGTGATCTCTGTTGGTGGCTCGATATCGTCCGAGGTGATGACGGTGGTAGATGTCTTCGGCGCCTGCACGTTGGACTCGCCCGGCATACCGCCAGATACCCGGAAGAGCTCTAGAAGATCGTAAAACTGGCCATGGATGTCGCCGCACACAGTGACGGGGGTGCAGACTGGCTGAATGTTGGATTCTGAGGTACCGAGTCAGCAGGTCAGCGGTGCATCTGAGTCTGGCGGTTTTCACCTTCCATCAAAATCTCCTTAACCTTCTCGCACAACTCCTTCATAGCGCGCTCAGGCAAGTAATGACATTGTTTGGCCTCCTCTAGCCACTCATCAAGGCCGGCATTGGGCCCCAGGTTCGCAGGGCCCGGTCGAGGTACGCCTGAAGCCATGATCTAGCATGCCCCTTCAATGGAAGGCCTATGTGGGAGTATGATGGCGGGGAGAGATATGCCAGCCCAGCGAAGCCTGTACTGCGATATGTGAGGTGTTGGTCGTGGTACTGGTACACATGCGGCGAATCGGGTGGGGCTTATGCTTAGGTAGGCCTGCTTGCCTTGCTACCTATGGAGGGGTGCGATACCTAGTGAAACGCCGGGAATTCTTCGGCCATGGCCAGAGAGGGAAACTTTGAATAAGATATTTACGTGCTGTTTTGATTAATCTTATAACTGGTTCTTGCCCACTTCAATATTTCTTTCTCCTTTACTAACTTACATATTCCCCTTTACTTTTGGAAATATCATACGCACTTACAACCAAGACTACACGTGAGGAATTCATCATTCGGTGGATAATCGCATATCTCTCCAGTATCGCCCCACTGCCACTGGCGGGGCAGCAAGGCCGCGACTCATCAAGCCTTACAGCACTCACTTGAGCCTTTCGCTATATCGATCATCATAACGGTATCGTCAGTTACAACCCGAGGTATTTGCGGTATGCGAGATGTCAGCCCAAGCACCACAAGTCCTGTCTCGACGGGCAAACGGAGGTCCTCAGACATCATCAAATCAGACCTCAGAACCCACAAAGGTGATTAGTGACGTTCGGGAGCAAGGGACATAGATATCTGACATGTTTCAGGGAAAGGGGTCACACGAGAACAATTCTCATGGAAAAGCTAGAGGGAGAGGCTCTAATGCAAGATCTACCGAGGCCAATAAGGTGACATGCCGAGATTCGTGAGAAACGACGACACTCTGACTAACTATGATGAAAGCATGCGAATGAGAGCGAAACTCCAAAACCCACCAAGACTAAGGCTCATAACGAGGGTGAAAAGCTCGTGATACGTCGTCTACCTCCTGGAATGACCCAGGCAGAATTCGTATCAATTCTTGGAAGCGAGTGGGAGTTGGGTAAGGGCAAAGTTGACTGGTTTTCCTTCGCTGGAGGAAAGATTTCTACTGAGTATGGCACTGAGCACTGCCGCCGAGTTTTACATTACTAACACCATCCAAAGCCCCTCGAAACCTTCTCGGCCTGGTCGCTCCTACGTTCATGTTATGAAAAAGGATGATATCTTGCCTTTGAGCGAAGCTGTGCGAACCGCTGTCTGGGAGGATGCGAAGGCATCTTTTAATAGCCCTTCTTTGATTGGTCCCCCTTCCGTTGAGTTTGCTATTTACAAAAAGGTTCCAAGCAATAAGAAGCGCACCGATGCTCGACAGGGAACAATCGATCAGGATCCTGAATTCATGGCTTTCTTGGAGGAACTAGCGAACCCATCACCACCCAAAGAAACCGCCGAAGGAGAAGAGGGCGACGACCTTGGTAAGGCGGAGGCTAAAGTCACCACTACGCCACTCATCGAGTACCTTAAGGAGAAGAAGGCAAGCAAAGCCAAAGAGAGCTCATCCTCCAAAAATTCCAAACATGGGCAGGATTCTAGGAGCGCTAAGGGGAAGAACTCGTCCAAGGATGAAGACTCGGGTAAGAAGAAGGGCAAAGAGTCCAAGGCCGAAAAGGGAGAAAAGACGCCCAAGGAAACCGTCAAGATCCTCACCAAGAAGGCGACTTCTGAGTCGAATGCGGAAACCTCGAAGACCAATGCTAAAAGCCAGCCCAATGACTCCAGCGCCCAGGAAACCGCACCTAAGAGCCGACGTGCGGGAATTTTGGCTGCAGCAAGAATCCTTCAGCGAGATCTTGGTCTCAGCCCTGGAAGTGCGCATAGAAAGGCACGTCAAGACGCTGCTAAAGCGGAAGCAGATGCAAAGTCTCCAGAAAAGGAGAACCAACCTACTGCCGAAGCAAAGGCTGGTGCTTCTGAAAGCCCATCTACGCCTGTAAAATCAGACGAGGCCGAAACACCAGAACCGAAGGGACGAGGTGTTGCCAATGCCAACAAACAGCAGCAATCAAACCGCAGAACTCGCGGCGGAAAGAACGCCGAAAAGAACAATCAAAAAGAGAAGAGCAAAGAGAACAGTAAAGAGAAGGAGAAGGTTAAGGAGAGCACATTGAGCCAGCCGGCTCCCAACCCTCCAATTGTGCTCCTCAAGAAAAAGGCTACTGATGCTGAATCCAACCCAGCGGCGAAGCCAGCAAATGCCACAACGCAAGCGCCGGCCTCACAGGGAGGGAGATCGAAAGCAGAAAATGCAGCTGGTGGCTCTAAGGTCGGACCCAATAAGGGGGCTAATGCCCAGAAGAAACCTCCTACTGTTTCTCCTGACGCTACTCGTGGCTTTGTCAAGCATGCTAACCCCTCTCAAGGAGTTACTGAGGCGTTGCTTAAGCAAACACTCTCAACTTTTGGCACAATTACTTTTGTTGAAATTGACAAGAGAAAGGGGTTTGCCTATGTCGACTTTGCGGAACACGAGGGTCTTGTGAAGGCTGTTACAGCCAGTCCTATCACTGTTGCACAAGGCACCGTGCAAGTTTTGGAGCGTAAGGACAAGAAGCCTGCCAACACGAACGCAAACGCGGCAACGCCTGCACCAGCCCCAGTTGCTGGATCTGCTGCGCCGGAAAAGGCAGCTGGCCGTGGTCGACGTGGACGTGGTGGAGGTAATAAGGCAAAGGATTCTGGCCCCAACAATCAAGGGACTGCTCCTCCTAATCAAGCTCCAGCCAACGCTGGCGGCTGAGTGTAAAGAAATGTTTTTCGGACTTTTCTCGAACATCTTACCCCTCTAGCGAACAGCCTAATCTGCGCCGTTATGCCGCTGTTATGAGCCTAAAGTGCAATCCAGTTGCTTCACAAGTCCAACTTATCTTTAAGCATGGATACTACGCAGCCAGGAGTCGAGCATCAGAGCAGCTGAACCATTGCAAGCGGACAAGAGCACGGCTGATTTATAGTCTTTGTGCCTTTGCCTTGCGCGCGCATGCTACAAATCCAATGCAGAGTCGATCTTTTGATAGACAATTACTCCAGCGGAATTAGTGTTTGAGGAAGCGACAGGTAGCATAGCGACGAAGGGGTGGATTATGCTAGGTTCAGAGATCGAAGCAGCAATATGACTTTTGCATCTACAGTTCGTGTTGATAAGTGATTACATTGAGTATGTGGTTAGATGTGCGGTGTGGTCTTGCGATAAGATGTCAACATGCGGATGCTTCTTGAGCTTTCCCAATACCTGTCTCCCGGATAATGCAGATGGCAGATTTTGCATGAACCAAGAAAGGACTTCAATCATTACCATAGTATCAGATAAATCCCGCAAGAACCTCTTTGGTGAATGCTGTCATTCAGTTGGTTGTGGCGTACATGGGAGCGTAACCCCTGAATCAAGTGCGGAGAGTCCATTGTGACTCACAAGGTGTCAAGAAAGTTAGGGGAAAATCGGATATTCAACTCATATTCACAAAGGCAAAGGGGGAAACAAAGTGTTTTAAAAGAACATTTAATCAAAGACTCTAATGCTACTAATACTAATAAACTATCCTAACATGGGTGGTATCGTTCCTACACAGGCTGTTGGACCTGCATCATGTAGCAAACGCGTTACAAATCTATCTGGTATGACAAACAAGAAGAACGAAAATGTGTATCTAGAAAAAGAAAATAGGCACAAGAAGAAAAGAAAAACGCAAAAGACATAAAAAAATCCAATCCCTTTGAGGGAACACCTTTTTTGAAAGCCAAACACTGTACTTTTTGGTATCCCAAAACCGAAAAATGCGCCGTTCCTATATCCATTCAAGCCTGAATCCTTGGCCATGACGCTGAAATCACTCCAACTGAAACCATGACAACGTACAACAACAATGCAAGAAGAAATCCAACTGCAATCGCTTCGCTCTGAGCAAAAACCTTCCTTGCATGCGCCTTTGCATCCGTAAACCATAACGTCTCTCCCACGCTCCGACGAGCAGCTCTGAGTCCAGGCAAGCCGTCCATGCTCAGCACGTTGGTTTCCTTATGATAATCCAACAAGGTGTTGTTTTCAACTCGCTTTGCCACCCACATATCCATTGTGGGCCTCTCCTCAAACACAGCCAGCTCATTCACTTTACCATCCACACCCTCTTGAAGGACTTGCTCAAGAGACAAGTTCTTCTCAGAGGTCTCATCAGGTGCATATATACCCCTCTTCACCCGGGGAACACCGAAGCCACAGCTTGTCTGGGCTTCAAACACATCAGCCAGAATGATGGCTCTGGCGCCATCAAATGTAGAACGCTTTCCCTTGGAGATTCGACGGACCAGGTCTGGGAAGGCTGGGTCATCCCATTCGATAATCCTGGACCGGCAGAAGAAGCGGACAATCCGAGGAGCGGGACCGAAACTCATAAACATCAAACACAGGCGGCCATTATCGTAGGAATGGGCAATAGTCTCACATCCGGAACCAGTGCGGTCGATATAGGCACACTGGTTGGGTCCTAGAACAGCGAAGTGCGAGTCTGAAAGGCCTTTGGGAGAGACATTGATATGAGAGCCATGAGTAGGAGCAGAGCCTGTGAAGAAGACAGGTTGCTGCTGCACCCAGGCGGCGAGGTCCTCTGGAATGGAAGGGTAAAGCTTCATGGCGATGATGCAAAACGTATGTATGAAAAGCAGAGATCCCAATCAACTCGATTGGGGTCTGTGTATAGCTGCAAAAACCAACAGAAAAATAAATGTAAGTTTAGGTTGGGATGCTGCGAGTGGGATTGGATAATCCTGTGGGGAGCTTAAATATCTCGGCCGGTGTCGGTAACCATATTCCATGCGGGGGAAAGGCGACACATTAGTAGACTAGGCCTGGAACAACTCGCCATTGGAATTGAGTCACAATGGGAAGGTGACTGGCCAGAATCCGATCATCGGTAACAATTGGAAGAGATAAGAGGTGGAGCTTGGTGTTAAGCCCTACCTACTAGGATCTCACTCCTCGAGGGCGTCTCGAGGAGGGAGTGCGCTCATGTGAATCATGTCGATCCCCATGAGCATCCTGTTTTGACCTGTAGCCCATTCTCTTTGGTGGCTTCCAGTGAGAGACCACGCAACCTCGAGCATGGCAGGTCAAACAAGACAGAAGAATGATTAGTTAGGGATGGGGTAGGCATGGTAAGAACCATCCTCATACCGCTCATCATCGTATGCGCTGCTGTCGCTGCTGAAGTGACCATTGACAATGCTGGTCGTGCGAGGGACATTGGAATAAGCCCCGCTAGACACAACACTGGCGGCCTTGCGTCCTGTTGCCATATGGCCGTAAGCGTCAAAGTCGCTTGAAGGGGCATCATAATGAGGAGACCAACCTCCGGGACCCCATGGCTCGATGAAGCTGGTCTGACGAGGTGCTACAGCAGGGCGCTCATCAAACCGCTTCGACAAGCGTTCCTTGGCCTCAAATCTTTCCTTGTCCTTAGGCTTCTCGCTGCGCGGGGGGCGTACTCGATCCTCACGGTCGCGGTCGCGGCGCTCGCGATCATCCCGGTGACGTCTCTCGCGAGTGTGTTCCTCACGAGAGCTCTCCTCCCGCTCAGACTGGTGTCGATCCTCCTGCTCACGGTGGCGGTCCTCGCGAGGCTCTCGCTTGCTGGAGGACTTGGTAGAAACCTTGCTAGAGGCCTTGCTAGAAGCCTTGCTGGAAGGACGGGGGGGGTTCTTACGGCCCTCCTGAATAGGGGCAGGAAGAGGACTGGGCATTGGGCTGGACATGGGGCTCGTCATGGCAGACGAGGGAGCTTGGCTGCTTACAGCATTGTGGCGCATGGTGAGGTTCTCGTGCTTGGCCTGGAGACCGATGAAGCGCTGCTCAAGATCATGGTGCTCGAACTTGACGCGCTCAATCTCCTCCTTGAGGGCCTCCTTCTCCTCTTTGAGTTCATCACACTCATTGTTCAGGCGGCGCTTATCGCCCTTGAGTTCCTCGAAGTCGGTGTTAAGACGGCGGTTGTCCTCTCGTAGGACATCAGCCTCAGAGCGTACACCCTCGATCTGGGCCTTGAGCTCACGGCATGAGATTGTAGAATCATTGAGCTTGCGGGTTGTCTCTTCGAGTGATGTCTTGGACTCGTTCAACTTGCGGGTGAGCTGCTCGATGGTGGCCTTGAGCTTGTCGTTCTGGGCGCTCAATTTGTCGTTCTCGGCATTGGCTTTGTTGAGTTCTGTGTTGGCCTTTTGAAGATCGTCGCGCAGCTCGGACTCAATATCGAATTCATATTCGTAGTCATGGTCTTGCACTACAAAGGGAAAAGTAGAGTTAGTCGGCTGAGGCGGGGAACTTGAAAGGCGACCATTGAACATACCAGTCAAGGCCCTTGACTTGGAGGAGGAGGAGGAGGAAGAGTTAGTGCTTCTGGCGGAGACAGAGCTCCTAACAGAGGAGCTGCTCCTCTTAGATGGGCTAGCAGAAGTCCGCTGGTGGAGAGGCATGGCGTCGGTTTGGACTGTTTACGATCGCCAACAACAAGAAAGAAGAAATAGAGAAGAGGCGAGAAGTGACGCCAAAGTCGTCTCGATAATGTGTGTTCGTGGTTATTTTGTGGTGTTAACTCTGTTCGCTGCGGTGCAGCTCTGCCCAACGACCAGCGGTGTAATTTGGTCTGGCAGGCGGGTAGAAGAGCGCGGGCGTTTTTAGCTGGAGGCTCTCTACTGGAGGGGTTGTAGCGGGAACGGGAGCGGGAGCGCGAGGGGCCACAAAGGCAAAAAAAGGTGACGTCGAGTTAAGAGAGTTGAGTTGAGGTGTAAACTCAAGTTAGTTGTCAACTATTGCTTTACCAGCAAGTAAAACAAAGATGATAGATAGATATCCTTCCTGTAGCACAGTACAGAGTAGAATAGAATATTCGAGAGAGAAAGGTTGGAATAAACCTGTGTGTGGTGAAAAGAGAAGTGAGTTCAGGTGCAGGCAGAAGAGGGAAAAAGTAGAATATTCGGGATGATATGGGTTTTGTCAAACTCGGCTGTGGGAGAGAAAAAAAAAAGAAAAGGCCTACCTACCTACAGGCTACAGGTGTCTTAGTTGTCTGGAATGGGGGGTGGGCTATAGAAGGGGGGCGCAATAAAGGAAGGGCCAGGCCTAAGACAAAGCAAGGCAGGTAGGCAGACACAGAGGCAGGGATAGAGTATCAATATGGAAAGAAAGGAAATTGAAGTGAAGGAGGTGCTCCTTCTAAGACATGGTTGTTGTCGTCTGTGTCTGCCTCAGAGTTGAAGGGAAATTCTCCTGCTTTTTCAGCTATCCTCTTACACACTTACTTACACTCACCCTTCTTTGATCTATGCTTAACATGGAGAGATGACGACAAAACGCAGATGGGGAGACAATTATCTGCGGCCTGCTATGGTCTCACCTACATTCAACTGCACATCTATGCAGAGTCGGTACATTACGGTGCACGCAAACGCGGAGAGAGACGGAGAGACGGGAAAGGGACAGACAGACAGAATGCAGACTCCTCCTCTGATCCTGCATACTAAGGTGCCTAGGTATGCGCTACTATACACACCCGCACCGCACATGCACCCGAGGAATAGGGAACAGCCATTCCCTTCCTCTCCTATCCTCATCACTTCGTTACAAAATAGCATCAACCCCTGTTCAGACTGAGAGAATAAAGGGAGTTTAGGGTGTGAGAACCACCAAAGAGGGAGTGAAGGGGAACTCTTTTTCCAACCTCGTGATTGGAACATCAGAGACATGGTAAATGGAAACTGGGCCTGGCGCACACACTCAGACTCGCATTTGCGCTTCAGACAAGCCATGGATCCTTTCTCAACACATTAAACCCGCCAGTGCGGTATGCGCAAAGTCGATGAGTGAAAGCGTTGTGACGCCAACACCAGGGACGGCAACCAACGCTCAGTGCCCAAGGGGAGCCGACTAGAGCCCAATTCCCACTTCGCCCACACCTCCAAACGTTAAACCCCTGTCAAAGCCGGGGTCCTTTTCTGTTTCTCTGCCGGTTCGGCTTCTAAATTCTGGTCTTTTTGTGCTCTTATACCACCCCCGGCTCTTTGCTTGGACATTGATTCCTGAATCTCTCATATCGCCGAAAAAGGGGCATGATATGGGATGTTGGTATTATTATCCCTGGCCTGTGCTGCGCCGTAACCTAGGCAAAGCAAAAGAAAACACCTGCAGCGGAAAAGCAACGAGCAAAGGCCTAGACAGAGGAGAGGGCTTAGAAAAGTGTTGCCGACATCGTCACCGTCTTTAAAAGCTACCCCCAGTCATCAGCCAGACACCCTGGATGACAGACAGGGGGGTCGGAAACAGCCAGTTTCACTTCCGTTGATTGTCATGATATCCACGAACATTTCACATTCCTCCCACTAACCACCCTCCAAAAAAAGACACGGAGGAAATTATGATTCACATCGCCGCAACGTTTACAATACTGGTTAGCCAATACCAACCTATTTTCGAGAAAAGGTCGTGTTGTTGACTATCTGCTGGCCGACGACTCCGCTTCATGCCGCTTCGTGGCTAAGTACTGTGACCGGTGCGGACACCGCCATCTGAGCGAGCGACCAAGTCACTTCTTACGCCGCCCCTGGAGCGCCTCCGCTGCCCACAAAGCACCCAAAAGAGTCCGTTTTGGACGGAAGCTATAGGAGAGTGACTCATCGGGCTGGCGGAGGGAAGGGGGCTCGCTGGACGTGCGACATGCTGACATGGAAGTTTCGCCGTATCTCTGGTTGCGTTTCTGCGCCGTCACCCTTGTCGTCAATGCGACTTATTCGGCACATGGAAAGAAAGCTTTACAATTATTTTACTGGTATGTGTGTGTGCAAACAGCCATCCAACTTCAACTCCCGTGGTGCGTTACTCTGGACCAGGGCAGCCGTTGATGGGATGCGTGTGAACCCCCCCTTGTTTGTTTGCCTTTGGTCGCCCAACCCTTTCAGCTCGCTCTCTTGCATCCGGGAGCAGATGAGCAGCATGGCTTCGGTTGGTAACCCATGATGTATTCTGCAGGATGTGCGATATCATGCGCATCATGTATGGAGGGAAACGATTTACACTACACTACCTATGTAGGTACGATATCGTGCTGCGCTTCTAGTTGGTATTCCAACATACATAATCGTGGGGAGACATCGCTCATCAGGTCGGAATGGAAGAGCTTGTGTGTGGAGAGCAAAACCATTTCAAGTCAAGACCCATGCCCTAGTACTCGAGAAGCCGCCCGCTGCCCATCGCCGGTCGCCTGGGCCCGGACCCGGGGGACATCCGCCGGGAGGGCCTCCCGCTTCTGGGGGTTTAATAACCTAAACGCTCGAGCTTCTTTCCCTACCCGCTTGTCAGAACAAAATTGGGGCAGAATAGAAAATTCTGACTCGGCGGGAATGGAGTGTTTGATATTGACTGGGGCTGGGCCATTAGACTGATAAGCGCCCCCCTTTGTTTTCGGCTCGTGAGGTGGCCTCGAGCTAGTTTGACTCTTGCTGGCATTCAATGCTTGATTATGAGCTCTTTTGTGGATAGAGTTGAGCGAGCTCCGTCATTATCGTGGGCTCTCCTTGCATTCCCGCATTCCGTCGCCAAGCTACCGTTACCACGTTTCCAGCCCTAGCTCCTTATGCTGTATTGCGTGCGTTTGAACTCCCACCCCCTGAATTTGACTGTGTTGACCAATTTCAGATGTGGAATTTTGTGTACCGACCCGAGGTCTTCAGCCCCAAGCCCAGCCCAGTACGTACCCTGCCTTACCGACCCAGCGGGAGGCTGCTCCCGTCTACCTCCACCTCCACCTCCAGGTTTCGTTTGCCTATAACGGTAATGGTCGCTAAATGGCTTGCGAGGCGGGTTTAACACGGTCAACAGGCTTCGACAGGATTTCCGAACTCGGAAAGTAAACGTCAAAACTTTTACCGTGGCATCGCCAATTAAACTGCGGATCTACCCGCTTGCTGGCGATTCTCAACCAAAGGCGTATCAAATTGCGATATCGCTTTTTCAAGTCACGCACACTCGAGATCAAGGTGTGCCGTTCTTACAATGCAATTTGTTGATCAAATTGCTTGTCATTCCTATACACAGCCCCTGTTTTGATAAGCGCGACCAATTTATTCTGAGGCCCTCCATGTGAGTCAACTGGATAATGCTGTTGGGAAAGGTCATGTGAAAAATACTGCACCCCAGCTCCTAGACCAACTTTACTTCACCCAGGCAACCTCAAGCCAGGCTTCGCAACCTCTTCGCACTGGTCACCCGCTTTCAGACTCACACCTCTTGGCGCCTTCATGTCATGCTCGACTTCCTCCACATCCATCACGATACCACCACTACGGGTCCCTCCCGTGTACTCCACACCCTTTCTTTCATTCACGGTACGGAACGGTCCCTCAAACCTCGATACTAGTTCGGTGTGCAGCCATTTTCCCTTGTTACCACACCCTCATCAGACTGTCCTTTCGCGGATCAAGGCACTGCCATGTATGCATGCGTATTCTCAAACCGCTCCTCCACCAGTTCCACACATCAAATCCAATGTCTGTGTTGCCGGCCCCCAAAGGTTATCCTGGTCGCCTTTTTCCACTTAAACCAGGCGACCAATCCTTATGGTGCCAAAGTCCCCTTCTGCCTGGAATAGGACTTTTTCTTTCACCATTTCCCGCCTGTTTTCTAACTTTGAGGCCGCCTCTATTGGTCATCCAGCCATTACCCCTCTCTCCTTGGTTGCCTCGCCTGCCCCTCCTTTTCACGTCGTCGTTATCTTTAGTATGCCCCACGAGTTTCGGGACAAGATGCGCGATGCCACGGGATATCGCGTTGCACCGCGTAGAGTGCTCGGCTCATCACAACCAAAAATGCAGAGTTAAGTATGGTTCGCCAAGAGACAGCAAGGCACCAGTGTGCATATCGAGCCGTCGAGAACATCCGTCTTACAAAGCATGCGATTATTGCGGCTCAAATGCACTGCCATCATGCCACATTACGCCATGGCAGTGCGGAGTGTTCAAATAATTACAATCCAGACTGTTCCTTTTGCTTCTGTCGAGCTGAGAAGGAGCTGTAGACCCCCAGCGATATTTTTGTGTTGCTAGTTTGCTTACCTGATGCTTAGTGTCGTTGCAAAAGTGAAGTTTCTAAGACATTTTATATCTGGATGCTACCCTGAGGTGAGTCGAGTTCTCATGACCCTCCTCCTTTTTGTTTACGATGAGATTTGTACGTCACGAGAAAGAATTCATGTAGTCTAGCTTAGCCACGCGGTCACATAGAATAGTTATGTTTGCCAATCCATGAGGGGTGCAAGTTGTTCTTAGTGGGAGACTATCATTCTCTCTACCCGACCACGTAGACTAGGGTATCTGTGTATGAACAAACGCCGTCTAACGTATTTCTATGCCTCATCTTGTAATAGAATGTAACCATGGCAAAAGAAATAAGTTACGTTGAGTTCATATGACCTGAAATCGAGCCTTTATCCAGACAGGGAAATATCCAACTGCAGAATGTCAGTATATCATCAAATGAGATTGAAAGACTTTTTTATACCTTGGTTACAAAGGAACAAAGTCTCTATGGAAGAAATGAAGCGCGGAAGGGAATAGTGCCAGATCATGGCGGTGTTAACAAAGGGGGGAGCAAGGGCCCGTCTAGACCTTGACCATTGTTCTATTTAAATAATATCATGATACTCATAACGAAAGCATTCGATAGCATAAAGAAATGCCGAATAATGAATTAACAAACGCGCCGTCGCTTCAGAACATCGTCGTAATACTCTGTCTTCTCAGTCTTGGACTCGACAATCGTAATTAGACCAAGATGTCGCTCGCGTAGTTCATCGTACTTCTTCTTCCAGAAACCAGACTGGTTCGTCCAGTACTCAATCTGCTTAGTAAAGTCTGCAACTCTACGACTGATGCTCTGGTCGATCTGCTTGGACAGCTCGCGTACCCTAAAGCGAAGATCTCCATTGTCATCTCGTAGAGTCTTGTTCTCCTTTTCAAGTCTGCATATCTTGGCTCGCAGCTTCTCTAGCTCAAAGTGATAGGTGTGAACAGGGGGATCACAGGGCTTTTCGGCTGCACGACGAAGGCATTCGTTCTCGCGGGATAGTTTGGCGATTTGGTCGTTGAGAGAGGGGATGACGACGTGGCATAGTCGATGAGTCTCTGCGTCGGAGCTGTGAAGCCGAGATCTAAGGGTTTCGTTCTGGGAAGCGTATGCTTGGTTGGCCTCATCGAGGAGTTCGTTCTGTCGTACAAGAGTCCTCCATTCTTCGCGGCTGACCTTGTAGTAGTCGCACGGATGGCGGTGGGAGTGGTGGTAGGATCTAGAGCGCTTGATGGTTACGAGTTGAGGACGTCCATCAGGACTAGTCTCGACATAACAGCGACGAGACATGTCGATCAATGTTTCGTTTCACTGAGTTTCTTTTTGTGTTCGATGGTCGAGATAGTCGAGAGTTGCGTGCGTCAAGTTTAGAGGACAGAAGAGGCGGGTTTAAGATAGTTGGGTATGATGGAAGATATAAGGAAAGTGTCTCGATGAGTTGAGACTTATGAAAAGGCCTTGCAGTGATATGAATGACCTATTATTGTCTCGAAATAGCTCCCACGGATATAAAGAGTGACAGTTGAAAGAGACAGTCGGGTCAATGCAGGTGATCAAAGAAGGTCAGAAGTGTTTGAACAAGGGAATTATGCCCGTGAAGAGCAAATGCTTTTTATAAGCAATCACTTATAATTAAACAATCACAGAGAACTCGCATTAAAGACATTCCGACTTGAATGTTCCACTTTGAGAAGCACGCGGACGCGACATTCTCAACATCGTGGCTTATAGAAGCGTATGATGTGGTAAAGTGTAAGTGAGTGTCTGAGTTGGAGCGTAGGACTCAAACTGTGGCAGAGCATTTACATAGATAGTATGGGACTTTAAAATTAGTGTAGGTTGAAAAAGAAGAGCCAACATGAATGAGTATTTTGGAGTCCTTGGAGCGGCGCGTGGCCATCTGTTGATTTTGTCTCATTGATGATGGTGGTCATTTTACAGAGCAGGCAGACAGACAGAGGAAGTCAGCAATACGCCCAGAAGAATTGACTAGGTACAATAGATTAAGGACAAGATTTATCATAGAAATGGTGTGTTTATGCATTGATCGGAGCTCACAAGTTCTTTGATGTGACAAGTTGAAGTGATAGCACGTCAAAGAGATCAACCAAATTAAAGCCCTGGCGTCTGCGGCTAATGAATACTACTAAAGAAAGGGCACCTATAGAAGATCAAAATCGCCATGTGTCGTGCGTCTTTAGCTGAGTGACGTGCATGTGCAGGTGTCGGTTCCTGATGAGCGTGAGCGGGACATCGCGTGGTTGGGCTGATAGTCAAGAGACCTAGAGGGGACTGTGCATCTGCCATACCCACACTGTATAGAGCCATACTATTTGTGCATTTTATATAGTGTTAATAAAAGTACTGACTGTGCTTGTCCGCATGACAGGTACATCAGGCCTCCAGTCTCTCTTCTTCAACACCATCATCTTCAAAATAGGCATCGTCACCACGGGACCCCTTGCACTTCCGCTTGCCCTTGCAGAAACCAAAATGCAAGCACTTTATTCTTCGGCTCGGCCCAGCCACAATCAAGACCCTGCCTGCATCCACAATCGCAAATAATGTCTTTCTGAATAGCCTCAATTTACAGTCTAACCTAGGTACTAATGTATCCCACCAAAGACCGGCCCCAACAAATCAGCCCTCGTCAACTGTGGCTGAGCACCCTTGGTACTATCACACTGCTCTGCCCCATGCTGCGAATTGATTGCTCCTCGGCTGAGCCCATCCAAACTGTCTTTGACGAAACGGGAGCCCATCCTCATCCTCATCCTCATCATCGAAGTTTCGATTCCTGAAAACCCGAGCAACTCTTCCCATTCTGACCCCATCGCCATCCGGCATCCTGTTCCTGTTCCTATGCCTATACATAGGCATATCATGCCCATGAAGCATGCATCTATCTGAGTCTTCATCAGCATGCATAGGACAACCAGGATGACTGCAGGTATGTTGATCGCAAAATCGCGAGTCGCCATCTCTAACCCCGCGGGGCCGTGTATTTCTTGGGCGAAGACACCCTTCTACAGGGCACTCGTGATCAACGCAGAACTGGGATGATCGGGTCCTAGGGGCTGGACAGTTGGGGACGTGACAGATGTGGTGTTGGCAGAATGGACTGCCGTGTTCAGGTCTTCGGCCACATCCTCTTCTATCGTGGATGCCTGGGCACATATCATAGGGATCAATCCCTTAGCATCTCAGTCAGCAGCTATAACAGAATGGATCAAGTGAACTCACCGTCGTCGTAGATAGGATATCTCATCCCTGGAGCTGGATATCTTCGTCCTCCATATCTAGCCCCCATATGTCTAGTATAGTGAGGACCGCAAAACCTACCCTCCTCCACTTCAGCGTCACAGCCATCGTAGGCACACTCGTGCTGCGGACAAAACTCCCTCCCAGTCTTCCTCATGCGGCAGTTCCAAGCCCTACACGTATGCTCCCTGCAATACTCACCAGGGGTCTGCCTCCCTCTTACACAGCCTGGCTCGACACACGTATGCGCATGGCAGAAGGCACCCCTCTCACGACCATCATCACAGTCATGTGCCTCGCAATAATGCGCACCACAGAAAGGTGTGGGGTGTCCGTTCTCGCGCGTATGGCAGAGACGTGGACAGTGCGGTCTTAGACATTGGCGATGACGTTCGCAGAAGCGTTGAGGATCATCTGGGTCTGTGCCTGGAGCAAATGCACCACAATAGGGCTCGTTGCAAGTATGAGATCGACAGAACACACCAGCGCCGCCGTCTCTAGGATTCCGACAACTGTCGTATTGGCAGCGGTGGTCGTCGCAGAGCGGAAGGTATTGATCATGATGTCGTGATCTCTGATTCTGACAGTCTTGATACTCGCAAAGATCTGTAATCGTTAGCTCTAAAGTCAAAGAGTGAAATGGCTGTCTTACGAAGCTGTGGGCAATATCTGTATGCCAACATATCCCCTTGCTTGACCTCCAAAGTACATGCCCTTCCATTGTCTACTGCCTGACAACGAAGATCTACCCACTCATTAGCCATTTGATCTTGGTCAAGAACTACCTAGTAATAACAACTCACGCCGGGCGCAAACCGAGGCTCTGGGTAACTTCTGCTCAGGGCATGCTCGCCCGTTCTGAACTTGCCAGCACGCATGGAACTGGCAATAAATTGACGGATACATCCGCCCATTCACCTGCATACTGACTGGATGATTGCGGCATATAGTCCCTGACGCCGCACAGGTCGAATCCCAGCCGCGCCTCAGTTGATATGGCAAGTGATACATGTTGAAAAGGGGTAAAGTATATTATGGTCTCTGAACACTTCAAAATCAAAGCTCAACAATCAAGACCAAGGCGGTAATTTATAACCTCATTTATCGTGTTCATGCGGCTCTGCGCTCGAACCAAACGTCCACGGCACGTATCACAAGATAGAGAGCCGAAGTCATGGGCTGCCACCAACGTGAATCTGTATCACTACCCGTGAGGACACACGGCGAGCTACATCGTGAAACGAACCACTGGGATGCCTTTGTAAGCTCCCGGCTGCAAGATCGCGAATAGGCGACTCAGGCATTTTCAACCTTGTGGCATGAGTAACCTCACCCACGGATGGCAATCTTTAATCTTGACTCATCGTTAGTGGCACGACATATCACGCACAGTACCAGAGTAAAATGTTTGTTGAAGGTTAGGGATGATTCAATTGCCTATTTCCCGCTGTCTCCAGTCATCATCTATCATTTCACCTCCTAATTCGTGGTATCATTCCAAGCCAGACCTCCACTTCACTAAGCTGTCTCTATTCCTCTCGTTTTTGTCTCCCCCTCCCACTCTTTCCTTTAATTCAGCCATCGAGGCTTTCTTATCTATAGGAGAATAAAAAGTTTTGCTGCGCGGAAAAGACTATAGCCAACTGCGCCTAGCACCCCCTGATGCGTACCTAGGTGCCATGGCTCGTTATGGAGCAACTGGTCCACCGTCGTTATCAACATTTATAAGCAGGAGAAAAAGTAAACAGAAACACCAAACAGTTCTTTGAGCCTAACAAGGTTGCATAAAAAAAAAGCCCACTGTATATGGTCGTCTTTTCAAGCATACTGTGCAACGTTGTGTTACATAGACTCTGCCACTGCTGCCTGAAGTCCTTGCAACAGTGCTGCCTCCGCAGCATTGTCGTGCATGTGCTGATCCATCTGTGTTTGCGTATCTGGAACTGGCACCTGGCCATGTGCGTGTAAATTAGGCGTGGCATTTGCAGGCGGAGGAGGAGAAGGGAATGTGAGCTGAGTATGTCGACCAGGCGGGAAGTGAGGCTGAGGATGATGTTGAGTAGCTGGTTGAGGAGTTGGTGTATGTTGTGGCGGCGGGGAGTGATGTGGCTGTCCGACGGGTGTCGACGTATGGGAACGAGCTTGAGCAGCAGCTTGGGCGTGGGCGGGAGAGTGCATAGCACTGTGCTGCTGCTGAGGTAGTTGTTGTTGCTGGGATCGCGGGGTCTGAGGAGACATAGACATTTGTGATTGAGGATGCGCTGCTTGATGGGGCGGCTGTTGTGCTGCCGACATAACGCTTGGCCTTGACTGCGGCAAGGTCGATGGTGGATATCCCGATGAAGTGGCTGGGTTATACGAATGGGCAGCTGCTTGATTGTGCGCCTGGCCTTGCTGCGAAGACGCTGCCTGGGCCGCATTCTGAGCAGGCGTCATGACTCCTGAACCAACGGCTGATGCTGGCGTTCCTGCAGCCCTTGCCTGTCCTTGTGGAGAGTTTTGCAACCCTCCAGCCAGTGTCATGATTCCCTGAATCTTAGCTTGGTCCTCCTCCGAATTCATTCTTGCGCGTTCTTCAGCCTCCTTTCTCGCCGCCTGTGTAGGAGCTCGTGTCTTGAGCTCTCCTGTGACTGCCTGGAGATAATATGGCATCTCAGAGTTGGTCTTGAGGAAGAACAACTTGAGGTTACGAGCCTTGTCCTTGAGCTGGACTTGTGTCCGATCTTTAAGTATATCTGATACCGTGCCCTGCGCCCCAAATAAGGTGAGTATCTGACTCCAGTGGGGCCCTTTGACCAAGTCCAAGCCTGCCATGAGAGCCTTCTCTTCGTCCTGAGTCCACGGCCGACGTGTTGAGTGGAGGCCTTCTCTTCTTGTGTGAGTCGCATTTTTAGAGAGGGCTGCTTGTCGAGCCTTGTCGTACAACAATGCACTGGAGCAGGTTTGGTGTGGCGGGAGCTGATGACCCGGTTCTTGAGGTAGTGGTTGTGGCTCAGGGATACTCTGCGCATATGATGATGTAAAGTACGGGTGTTGGGCTTGTTGTTGTTGTTGGAGCTGGTTCAGATATGTTTGCGCTGCGTTCACATTAGCTAATGACCTTTGCGTTCTTCTGAGACCTGACTCACTCGTGCTTGTTGGAACTGTAGGTTGATAGGGCACCGGCGACAAGCCATGTAGTGTAGTCTTGACATAGTGATCTGTGCTTTGGGCTACCAGCGCCTCCAGCTCCTTGTAATCTTGTTGAGTGCATTCCACTTTGCCGTTTGTCTGAGGAGTCAAGGTAGGTTCCTTCTCGGGGCTCTTGGTTGGCTCGACCGCGGCTGGTGGTTCGATTGTTTCGGTGACAGTGGGCGTTTGCTCAGGTTGAGGATTAGCCTCGGCAGGGGTCGTAGTGGTATCTTCAGTCAGTCCAGCCAAAGCATCTTGAACAAGTCCAGAAGCTGTCTTCTCAAAGAATGATGAGAGATCGTCCAAGTCGAGATTCGTATCGCCGGTCGTATCGCCCAATAGGTCGACTGCAGTCTCTTCGCTAGATCGCATAGGATGGCCTAACCTTGATCCAAGGTCTGACATCAATGCAAGCCGTGTCTTTACACATGTCGAGACCTGGCGCAGTAAATCGTCCACTTTATACTTTTCTCTCAAAACAGCTAGTACTGGTGAGTAAGAAGCTCTACTCCGTTGCCGACAAATCACTCACCAGATTCGTTAGAAGCTTCACCTTCAAGAGATGTTTTCCTCGCTCGGACGGAAGTGATGAACTCAGAATCGGCAGGCGTAAGATCGAGCCCATTATGAAGCCCCCGTAGCTTTTCTTCCATGTCCTTGATTAGTGCCTCTTCCAAAACTTGCTCCTTGGATTGTTCTTCGGTTTTTGTAGCAAGCGCATCGATGGCTACTTGGGTTTTCAGGGAAAGGTATAGATCGAGCGCATCGGAACCGAGGTCTGAGACTTGGCCTCTAAAGATGGCATGAAAGTGCTGATGAGCTTCGGAATAGGATGGCGTGGCTTGTAATAGCCAGATACAGAATTGAGCAAGGTTCGCTAGATCGAGGATCGTACGGGATTCGTGGTCGTGGAGGTCTGGATCGTCCGCTGATAGAATAGGCCCCGAAGAGTATATTTGCTTGATCTGCGCAAAAGAAGCTTGTAGGTCGCGAAATGACTTGGCGTGTTGTGAATCGGCATCTTGAATAGGTTTTATCGAGTCGTCGAATGATTGCGAGAATAAGAGGAGGACAGAAAGTGCCTATCCCACCCATGTAAGCGCTGTGGTATCTCTCAAGTCGCGCCACCTACCAAGTTGCCAAGCGCATGCCGACTGGCTTTGCGCAAATACTTCTGAGGGTCGGAGAAGAACGAGACTGAAGGAGATGAGGGGGGAGGAGGCGGTGGAGGTAGGTTATGGTCGGTAATGCCATCAATCTCCATGGGGTCGTTCGAGGTACCAAAGACGAAGTCATTGACATTGCTGAGCGCATTCTGCACGAGAAGCGCAAGGCCATCTTCGAGCTCTTCTTCAGCGCCTTGAGGAAGATCGAGTGCATTCTCAGAGGGAGGTTCGGCTTCAGTCTTAACCCTCTTAGATGGGTCGTCGCCGTTAGACTCGTCTTCGAATGGTCGTTTAGTCGCAGCTTGCATGATGGAATCGAGGTCAAGGCCTAGGCCCTCGAGAATGTCGGCTTCATTAATAGGCTCTTTCTTGATCCCTAGAGTCACTACAGTCAGCATTGAGCCAAATTCGTCTATCGCGACAGATATCTGCCGGGAAGCAACGGGACATGTACGCACCCGTCGGGGACATTCCCGCGTTGAGCTCCGGCTGGCCAGGCTCAGCCATTATTTCGACTTCACCAAAGCATAAGCAGTGAAAGCAGTATCCAATAGTAGGTTTAGAGTATCTCTCAAGGATAGGCTCGAGGCGCGGTGCTGTTCGGCGCGGCGGCGTAGTCGTCGATACGGCGGATGATGATTGTTGGAAGTTTTTGCCCTCCAAAACGGCCCTACGAAATCTACTATCGATACACAGAAGAAAACTGGGGCGGCAAAACTCGAAGAAGTCACCTCAAAACAGAAGAACCTTGGTGATATATGTATGCAATGAGGACGAGATTCAAGTTGGCGTGTTGCTGAATCACTGAAGGTTTGTGAGTTCATCCAATTATATCGTTCTTGGACCAAAAAATTATGTCTTTCTGGCAGGTCCGTTAAAAGTTGGCCAGTACTTGTCTCGACTGAAGATTTTTTGACTTGGGAAGGCGGGGGTCGGCCATTACGAGCGCCGATTTAGATTGATGCAGACAATGGCTGGGGATTGGGATTCCGAGGTTTGATTGGCTGTAAAGAGGACAAAGCTTTCTAGGGAAACGCTTTGTTAAAAATTGCGTTCTTAAATTGAATACAAGAGATGTGATTGGCCATACTTGTCCATGTAAGTGAAGCCCTCGAAGCTTGAATGCGAGTATGTAGGTAGTAGAAGTAGAAGACCCTCAAAGCGACTTACACTGTCTTATTCAATGCGCCACGTACAGGGTTATCCAGCGTGGTAGGTTCGGCTTGTACTGATATTATTTCTGGTCTCTCATTCCTCAGGAGTTTTCAAACGACAGAATAGTTGCACATTTAGAGTTTATCTGGACCTTCCTTGATTGCATGACTTATCGACCTGGGCACAAACAAGCAAATCTCAACGTGGTCTTGCTTATTTGAGAGCCTAGACCTAAAGGGAGGTAACTTTAGGTACCTACCTTATGTTTAATAGTATTGTAATTTCCATACCTCGGAAATTGTAGTTTAGAGCACGAAGAAACAGAACTGTCAGGATAACTCTTGTGGTCTCTCTCCTAGGTATTTCACCTAAAAAAAAGGGACAGA